CCACGCCCCCAACGTGAGCGATGTGGTTGAGTCACCTAACTCTTTAAGAGGTTATGGCCGCTGCTGCTGCTGCTTTCGGCAGCAGCTGTGACGCCCGCGCGGGTGTGTGTGTGTAACGTTCTCCTGCTTCCCTGAGCCCTGGGTGGTGGCCTTGGACTCGTAGGGGCAAATTCCACCTCTCACGTGAGAGGAAGGGTGCGGTCCCTTCTGCCCTCTTTCCTTAAGTAATGTGCAGAAGACATTTGCCAGTGGCGGAGGAGGGGGCAATAGAAGGAATGAAATTACTTTTTTCCCCCAAGTTACTTTTTTCCCAACATAGAGAACAATGGAGGGGATAGGGGCAACCTGTTTGGGGGCACGTAGAATCAATGTTCTTCAAACTTGGTTGGTATCTTGGGGAGAGACTCCATCTGCTACCCTGTGAGTTTGGAGCCTCTCCCTCAAACCTCCTCCCCTCCAGCCCCAAGAATATACCCTATGTTTTCGCCATTGACTCCAATGGCCCATAGGATATAATGGGGCCGAACTGCGGGAAGCCGATTCTTCTGCTTGCCCACCTCTCACCTCATCTTCTTCCGGGCACGGAGGAGCCCAGCTCGCCCAGGCTTCTTGCCTCCTGCTGCCTTGGCAATGCCTCTGGCCCAGGCCCAACCCCCCCCCCCAGGAAATTGGAAAGTCTACGCCCTTGTGGCCCCCGCCCCCCGTTCTTGCTCCCCGTTCTTGTCCTGACGGCCCCGTGGGGGAGGAGAGGCTGAGGGTGACCGACGGGCCCATGGTCACCCCCACCCCAGCCGTATGAGCCTGGCTTGCCCCTGCCCTGTTTGCAAACTGGCTCTGGCCTTAAATGGCAACAAGGTAGCCGGTGTGCTGCGAGGGCTGCTGACCGCAGAACATGAAGGGCTTTTGCAACGTGGTGATGGGGGTGGGTGGGGAGGCTACATCTCCCCCCCCCACACACACACACACCCCGGATGTGGTGAGGAGCAGGTACAGCTCGTTTGCAGAGATGCTGCAGGGAGGCAGGATGTGGCCGGCTCAGCCTCTCCGCGCGTCTGATGGGGTGAGTGAACCTGGGGTGGGGGGTGGGGAGCAGTGTTCCCTCTAAGCTGAGTGAGTGTGAGCTAGCTCACAGTTTTTTAGCCTCCGGCTCAGACATTTTGGTCTTAGCTCAGGAAGGACGGGGCTCCAGACCAAACTAACTGATGCAGTAGCCAGATCCCTCGCTCACAACTTTAATGCCAGGAGCTCACAAAGTAGAATTTTTGCTTAGAGGGAACTTTGGTGGGGAGGCGTCTTTGCACATAAGAATGAGGCATTGCCACGTCTGTAGCTCCCCTCTCCCCTCCCAAGGCCGCAAGGAGTGGTCGGGTGCTTGCGGCTGCGGGGCCGGTGGTCTGGAAGAGGGCTGATGGAATCCGCCCCGGAATGGGCGAGAGGGAAAGGCGGAGGAGAAATACTCTGTAGTTACCTGTCCAGTGAAAGCACTTTTATTATCTCGCCTTCTCACCCAATTAGGGCCACCAAGGTGGCAGAGAGTCAAAAATACATCAAAAATCAAGTGTGTGTGTGTGTGTGTGTGTGTGTGTGTGGTGGAGAGTGCCGTCCAGTCACACCTGGTGGGGCTTCCAAGGCAGGAGACGCTCAGAGGAGGTTTTCTCCATGGCCCCGGACTGCCTTGGGGGCCTCCCATCCAAATACTCTCCGGGGCTTGGCCCTGCTTAGCTGTCAGGGCGCGCACACTCGTGTGTGTGTGTCTGTCTGTATCCCCCTCCCTCCCTCCCTCCCTCTCTCTCTCTCTCTCTCTCTCTCTCTCTGTGTGTCTCAGTTCCCCATTTCCCATCATCATCATCGTCATCTCAGCAATGAAGACATAAGCAGGGTTAGGGTCCACGGGGCGGAGGGGGG